GGAAGTACCCAGTTCAATCCCCGGTATGTCAGCCAATCACCTGTTATATCCTGGGGGGCAACACTTTTAGGAAGAAATCACTGGGACACAGAGAGCTGTAAACCTTGGAGCAGCCATTTATTGCTACCACAGAACTAACCAAAAGCCAGCCCAAACAGGCTGGGCTATCCCCTAATAAACTAACTCAGTTGCCATAGCAACACACGATTCTATTACCACAACAACCAAATACACAACAACACCTGTTTGCAGCGCTGGGGAATACCATTTCTCAGAATCAGCGCAGGCAGAGGGGCCAGTAACACACCTCCTGGGTCAGTCTACACATGTGCATGGGTCGGCCCTGCTGGGGAAGGATGGTTTTGTGGTCAAAGCACAGGACTGGCCTGTGGGAAACCTAGATTCAATCCCCAGCTCTGCCACAGATTCCTTGGGCGACCGTGGGCAAGTTGCTGCATCTCTTTGGGCCTCAACTATCCATCTATAAGGAATAATAATAATCCTTCCTGTTTGTAATCTCTTCAGCGCAGGGCCTGTCTCTCCCTGTGTGTCTGTGCAGCGCCCGGCACAACGGGCCCCTGATCTCAGCTGGGGCAGGGACTGTCTCTCCCTGTGTGTCTGTGCAGTGCCCGGCACAACGGGCCCCTGATCTCAGCTGGGGCAGGGACTGTCTCTCGCTGTGTGTCTGTGCAGCGCCCGGCACAATGGGGCCCTGAGCTCAGCTGGGGCAGGGCCTGTCTCTCCCTGTGTGTCTGTGCAGCGCCCGGCACAACGGGGCCCTGATCTCAGCTGGGGCAGGGACTGTCTCTCCCCGTGTGTCTGTGCAGCGCCCGGCACAACTGGGGCTTCTAGGTGATAAAAGAACACATACAAATCCTAAGCCTGGTTTCCACACAAACAATCCTAATGATGTTTAGGAAGCGAGCGCCTGTACTTCGCAACGTGTGACCGACAGTGGTGTGTGCGCTGAATGAACTCAGCCCTGCCAGTAATCACGGTTTGCTGCATGGCTGTACGCTACACACTGGCAGCCAGCCCAGGAGAAACAGGTGACTGACATCACAACCATTCCAGTGGGTCTCACTCACAGCCGGCGGCTCTGCTGAGCGAGGGAGCAGTGGCCATGCGGAAGCTCAGTCTCTCGGCTTGACAGCCATGGATCCTAATGCTGCAGCCCTTGGGAACCTGGGAACCCAGGCTGGGCAGTGATGGTCCTCCCAGCCCCCCATAAGTAACCAAACACCAGACTGTAACAATCACATTTTTCTGGTGAGGTTCTTCCACCTTTCCCTGCCTCCCTCATCGTTGGCTAGCCCTGGGACCAGCACAGCTGTGGATGGGGGAAGAGAGCACCTTAGGCCGGACTCACCCTGGGCTCAGCACAGGGATGGTGGGGTTGGAGGAGGGTGGGCACTGGACTTCCCTTCACTTTCCTCTGCAGTGACTGGCATCCTCCCTAGCCTGAATCAATGCATCCTGCCTGCTCCTATCCCATACAGCATCAGTGTGCAGCTGGCGAGAGAGCCCCTTCCCCGCCCCCCTCCCCCCCCGACACCCTGCACACACCTGATTGGGAGGCAGTGCCAGTCAAACACACCGAATTAACTCTGAGCCTGGGGAGCGAATGAGCAGGTGGGGGGAGATGGGGGAGCAGCCTGGGAAATTGAGAAAGAAAGCAAAGACAGAGTGAGGAGCCGTCCCCGGAGCGAGGGCAGAGAGGGAGGACAGCCAGGTACTGGCAACAGGGGACTCCTGTCAACTCTCCACCTGCTGGTGACAGGAGCTGAGACCACGTACCCGACTCACCGCTATGAGCTCCCACCGCACGCCAGCACCAGAGCAGAGCACGGACCGGCTGGACTGACCCAAGCGGGGGAGGGGATTGCGTTGGCGCGGGGCAGAGGCTCTGTGTGTGTCTAGCCAGGCGGGGTGAGGGAAAAGCTGTTTTGCTCTATGCTATGCCGGGGGGGAGGGAGTGTGTGAGCCCCCGGCTAGAGATCCTGACCTGGGTCTGCACCTGGCTCACCTGGGTTAGATAAAAGCGTTGTACGATTGCTGAGTGTGGTGCCTGTTCCAGGGTTACTCTAAGCCCCTAGGTGGGAGGGAGGGTGGCTGTGCCGAGGTGCGTGGCTGAAAGCTGGGACCCTGTCCCTGACCTGGATTCCCCCACCTAGGGTTGCCAACCCTCCAGTATTGGCCTGGAGTTTCCCAGAATCAGCCCTGATCTCCCGGTGACATTGGTTAGGGCTGAATCTTAACAAATAACCCCTCCCTCCCTTTATATGGAGCAATCAAACTTCCCTCTCCCCTGGGGCAGGCTGCTCTGCTCAATTGTCTACCAAGTCACAGTGGAAGATCTTCATCTGTCTATAAATTCACACCCACCAGGTAGCTTCTGTTAGCCGCTTCCTATACCAAGATGTTGCGAGCTCTGCCCTCAGGATGCAAGCTCAGAGGTTGTTCAATGGACTCTACTAAAAATAGGCTCCCCTTGGAGCTCTGTTTAACTGCTCTACGATCATTCACGTGGCAGAAGATCCCGGAAAGAGCCATGTGGGAATAAGGAACAGCAGAAAGTGGTGGGAGTTTGCACCAGCAGCAGGTTAAGCCAATGCAGGCTCCTCCACACATCATGATAACAGCCAACACCCATCTCCAACTGTGGATCTAGCAATGGTTCTTAGCTGGTCCCCAACAGTGTTGTCCCTCAGCACCTCACAATCTTTTCAGGTGTTTCTCCTCAGAACACTCCTGTAAGGCAGGGCTGCCATCCCCGTTGAAGGGATGGAGAATTGAAACTAGGCCTCTCGAGTCACAGGTTACCACCCTAACCACTAAACCGTCCTTCCTCTGACTGGGCCTTGCTTTGGGAGGAAAACCAGGCTTATGTCAGCGCTAGGCCAGAATTGTTGTTGAAGTCCCATGTAGCCTTTTATTTTAATTTAAAGTGAATTTTGTAATCTGGTATTACACCACCATGGGTTTGACTCTGACAGCTACAGTTTCAAGCTTAATAACTGAGTGAAAGTCACCTCTGCGACTTGTTTTAGAGTTAGAGTCTCTAGGAACACGAAGACCAAGGGAGGGGACTGACCACACATACATTCATCAGTACAAAGTAAGTCTGGTCTATGTTATAGATTTTATTAAAGTTACAGTTGAAGTTATGATTACCCCTGCATATAGAAATTCTGTAGAGACCTATGCACAAGTTACAGCATACTCACATTCTTAACAACGGTGTTAGGGTCTGATGGGTCTCTCATGGCTTGATCATCAGTAGAGGGATGGTTCCTATTGGAGTCTCCCATAGGGAGCTCAATTTTCCCATTCTGGGTACCCTCTGCACATGTCCATAAAAGTGTCCACCCTCTTTTCTCTTATTGGTCTGTGTCCCCTGGAAACTTAAGGGACCCCAATTTTCTATAGGCCGTGTAATTTCCCTTTGTTCTCATTAGCATTGACGCACAAACTGTATCCCATAATTAAGACACATGTCAGAGACAGATGTGTCTTTACAGTATTTTTATGATCTTTTCTGGGTAATTTTGTGCAATATTACCTCTTGGTACTTCTTTTCCCATAATCGTACGATATTGGGTTATTTCTCAGTAACTGGCTTAAATCATCATTTCTTGTCTCCAAGGCCTAAAATAGCAAAGCTAAAGTCTTGCAGGCCTTAACTTACAGGTTCTTTCGCTTCAGCTTGTTTTATTCATGTCTAATACTTGGTTCCTCTAAATCAGATGTGGGCAAACTTTCTGGCCCAAGGGCCACATCAGAGTGTAGAAATTGTATGGAGGGCCTTGAATGCTCACAAAATTGGGGTTGGGGTCCAGGAGGGGGTGACGGCTCCAATTGGGGTGTGGGCTCTGGAGTAGGGCTGGGGATGAGGGGGTTGGGGTGTAGGACGGTGCTCTGGGATGGGGAAGCGGGGTACAGAGGGCGGGAGGGGGATCAGGGTTGGGGCTGGGGGTTGTGGTGTGGGGGGTGGGTGAGGGCTCTGGCTGGGAGTGCAGGCTCTGGGGTGGGGCTGGGGATGAAGGGTTTGGGGTGCAAGAGGGTGCTCTGGACTGGAGGGGTTTCGAGGGTGGGAGGGGGATTAGGGCTGGGGCAAGGGGCTGAGGCATGGGGTGGGCACTGATGCATGCAGGCTCTGGGCAGTGGTTACCTGAAGTCTGGGGCCAGGGATGAGGGGTTGGGGTGCTTAGCATGAATGCACAACCTGGCTCTGGGTTGGGACAGGTGTTTGGGGTGCAGGGGGGTGAGGAGTCGGGGGTTCGGGTGCCGGAGGGGGCTCAAGGCTGGGGGTTGGGCTCGGGCTTGGAGCGTGGGGTGCGGGCTTACCTGGGGCGGCTACCAGTCAGTGGCTCAGCAGGGCCAAGGCAGGCTCCCTGCCTGTCCTGGGTCCATGGTACATTGCTCCTGGGAAGCAGCGAGAAGGTCCTGCACCGGAACCACCTGCCCCAGCCCTGAGCCCTCCCAAACCTGGAGCCCCCTCCTGCACCCCAAGCCCCTCATCCCCAGCCCCACCCCAGAGCCAGCACCCCCAGCCCAGAGCTCTCACCCTGTCCCACACCCCAGCCCCCTACCTCAATCCACAGCCCCCTCCCACACTCTGAATTCCTTGGTTCCCCCCTCCATCCTGGAGCCCCCTCCTGCACCCCAAACCCCTCATCCCTGGCCCCACCCCAGAGCCCCCACCCAGACCCCCTCTCACACCCCAACCCCCTGCCTCAACCCGCAGCCCCCTCCAGCACTTCAAAACCCTCAGTCGCCCCCCTCAGCCATATATTATTCCCAAACCCACTCTAGGGCTTCAGCCACCATATCACATTGCATCTCATAGCCCTGCCCCCAATGGACCCAGGCAAAGGGTATGGAGGAAGAATGCGCTGATGAAACAGACACGTTCCACCCCAAGCACAATGTTAGCACGTCAGCAACAACAACAACAAATCTCCCCCCATTTCTATATGGCAATACAATTTGCATCTTACCTTGGGGGAGCTACCCTGGGCTGTTGGCAAGCAGAGCGCACTCGGCAGAACCTGCCCAGCAGAGCTCCAGGCAGCGAGATGTGCGGCTGGCAAGGCAGGAGCAGGAGAAGTATTAAACAGCACTGTGGATGCACATGCTGGAGTATGCGATTGAGCCAAGATGTATTGTCGTCAGGAATCCCAGGCAGTTTTATTGCTCAGAAGTATCTGGGCAGCCTGCCAGCCAAGACGGACTCCTGCGGGCCTGCGTATTGTTGTACAGTAACTCAACTCTGTCAAATACATTTCCTTTATCTGGCTGCAATGATAATGTCAACTCCAGGGCACAGAGGGGTGTCCCCATCACTCTTTCATGACCAGAGAGTGGCATACAAGACCCACCCTGCTCACTCTCCCCCGTGCACCCTTAAAGCCCTCGCTCCCAGCTCCCTGCTATGATAGGGACCCCCTGCAAAAGTGACCAGCATGGTGGACATGGGGGGGATGAGCCCTGCACAGAGCGCAGGGTGACTGGGCAAAGTCACCCTGCAGACATTGCTGTGGGGAAGCAATGTCTGACATGAACCCGGTGGAACCAGTTGTACAGAGCTGATCCGTAGAAGGACACAGTCACTGAGTAAAGCCAGTGCCCCGCCAGTGCTGGCTGAGTGTTTACTGAACACCACCGCTAAACCCCAAATGGATGCAGAGTGGGGAGGGGGTCTGCACTCAGTGGGAGAGACACCCTGAAGTTAATGGGGGGAAGAGAGGGGAGGAGAAGCGGGGTAAATACACCCTGCATTTTCTTCTCTCCAGACACGCTGTGTAACCCACTGCTCAGCCCCTCCCCAGAGGAGCTGAGTGTGTTACAGCCCCTAGTTATCCAGCCTGACTCTATCTCAAGCTGCAGTAAGACATGCTTTTTTAACTCTGGCCATGTCTGGTTGATCACTGGTGTGTCAGCCAAGGCGGGGGCGGTCGCACCTGTTTGCAGTGCTTTGGAATACTGTCCCTTAGTGTCAATGCAGGCAGAGGGGCTAGCAATGTACTTGCTGTGTCAGTCCACACACATGCATGAGTCAGCCCCGCTGGGGAAGGACGGTTTTGTGGTCAAGGCACAAGACTGGCCTGCGGGAAACCTAGATTTAATCCCCAGGTCTACCACAGATTCCCTGGGGGACCATGGACAAGTCAGTGCATCTCTCTGGGCCTCAACTACCCATCCGTAAAGGGTAATAATCCTTCCTGTTTGTCTTGTCTTTTTA